TGTATTTGAAACGGTATTCACCAGTTCGAAGTAGCTGATGTAGGACCCAGGGTTCGATCCCTAGATCCCCAACTTACCTGTGTACAATATCTGTGTCAACTCATAGATTTGAACCTGCGACCTGTAGGATCCTGTCTCTTATACACATCTAGATGTGTATAAGAGACAGGTGTAGCGTAGGTCGTGTAGGTTGCGTAGGTAGGTCGCGTAGGTAGGTCGCGTCGCGTAGGTAGGTCGGGTAGGTAGGTCGCGTCGCGTAGGGCTGTACTTTCGGACCGATTTCCCCAAGGCACCGCGGCAATCCGGGCCGTAAACGGCCCGACGGCCCGGATTCGCCCGCGATCTTAAAACTTTAAGATCGCGGGGCGATCTGGGCCGTCGGGCAGGTGCAACCGCTGTCTCTTATACACATCTAGATGTGTATAAGAGACAGCTCTATATCGTCCCCAGATAAGAGAGCACGAAGCGAGGGAGGACGGAGGGCCGAGGTAGGTGGGAGAAAGGGAGAAGGTGAGGGTGGAAATAAGGAAGGAGAAAGGGAGGAGGGAGAAGGAGAGGGAGGAAATAAGGAAGAAGAAAGGGAGGAGGGAGAAGGTGAGGGAGGAAATAAGGAATGAGAAAGGGAGGGAGATACACATATACATAATATAGGCAATCAACATATATTTATACGATGACTTTATGTAATAGAATAATAAATTGTTATATTTTATGACTATTTCTATGCTCTATATTCATAAATTATATTTGTATTCTCTAATATTAGTATATATAATTTCTCGTATTATTGATTGAGAATTTGATATTTTTAAACAATTATCACGAATCGTTGCAGTCAAACGTGGGGAAAGGGAGATCAACCCCCACCCTATGCGATCGATCATGGGCGGAGGGAAATTAATTGTGGGGAAAGGGAGATAAAACCCCTCCCTATGCGATCGATCGTGGGGAGAGATGGCGAGGGAGGAAATAAGGAAGGAGAAAGGGAGGAAGGAGGGAGGGCCGATGGG